GACAAGTCCAGGAATGCAATATAAGTCCAATTCAACATTGTATTATTAAGTCGTAATGTACCTGATATAAATCAAAAAGGATCATCTTGTTATGGCTTTTAGTATCCGAGAAATTTCTGGAACAACAATACAAGATAACGTTAAGAACCTTATGGCGAAAGAACACAGAACACACATGAATAAAGTTTACCTATTATTTTCATAATTAGTGTTTCTGCCTTTATATTTGTTCTAAAATTGTAATATGTAAGATTTTCTGTAAATAGTGTTTAAATTACTTATTGTCTTAAGTTAGGCTAAGATTGTAATAATGAAATTACTACAGACTATCAAATAGTCGTTAATTTGTAGATCTAGAAACATTGACAAATCAAATAAACCCCTTAATGGTGGTGAACTAATTTGACTTTGTTATTAATTTATAATGATAATGGCAGCTGACACTATCGCCATTGGTCCGACATTCATAATAATGACTGAAGTTATTATTATTATTACTACAGACTATTAAAAAGTCTGTTAATATGTAGATCTTATCAATAGATTAGAATCAAATAAACCATATAACGGTTTTTAAATAATTTGACTTTGATTTTATTAATTTATGATTACATTAGCAGCTGATCCCAGCGCCATTGCTCGGACATATCTAAATATATAAAACAAAGTCGTGTTAGTTACACCACTTATAACTCAAGATCGGCTGGACCGATGTTAGTTATCTCATTTTTGGTGTAGTAAGTAATAAATTATCGGATAAGTTATCGAATAAAAATAAATTAATTTTATGAATGCAAACAGCATGTGGTGCAAAAAATCTGTTGACAAAATTACGCATATAAAAGAAACATACCACTTTGTTCTTGCGCCGGATAACAAAACAAAAAATGTTGTATATCAGAAAGTGCTTTAACATGCAGTATCGCAATATTAGCGCTAGAGAGAAGAGGCTTAATGTGTAAAACTGCCATTCTTTTTGCAATGGCAAGCAATAAAACATTTCTATATTTGTAAAAAAAGTTGTATTAATGTTATTACCTTAATGAAATCCTAAATTAAGTTTAACTAAAGTTCACCCGATATTATTAAACAGTTACGGCCTGGCCACGGGGATCGGCGGTGCGAACGGCGATGCGGGAGGCGAGGCGACCATTCGCGCGGGGCCATTTGCAGGCCACGGACCAGTCACGTTTGCCGCCGCGACCAGTAAAGAAGTTCGACAGCGAAATGTCTTTATCGAAATCATCTCGATATTGCTTGGAAAGTAATAGCTTTTGGTGCAAGACCTAATATTTGGAGAAATTGTGGAGAATTCCACAAGAAGTATGAGAAATTCAGAATATATCCAGAATTATTTTTTTGAGTATACCAGAATGAGTATTGAAACCTTCAATTATATTCTTATGAATATTCAACCAGAATTGGAGAAAAAAGTTAATGCAAATAGAATTTTAAGTGCCGCTGAAAAATTGTTTTTGAGATTAAGGTATATTAAATTAATGCTGTGGATGGCCAGACTTCCAAATAGCTGGTCTAGCCAGTATTTCAGTAACAAAAAACTCTGTATTCATTTTTCGCCGCGACCACGACTAAACTTATTTATTCCCTTCTCTATTCGCCGCGACTGCCGCTCGACTCCGTGGCTTGCACCGTACTGATTCATGCATTTGTTTCGCTCGCCCGTCGCGACGTCAGTCGCCCGCGCGATTCGCTCGGTACATTTCGCCGGTCGCATCGCTGGTCGCCGTTGCGCGTGGCTTGATTAGTACATGGCTATGAGTTTATTTCAGTCGCTAGACGCATCGCGGTTCGCACCGCGCGAATATTCGCGTCAGCGAATGTCCCGTGGCCAGGCTGTTAGGCGGAACGAAGTTCGCCGGGTCCGCCAGTATATATATATTTATGAAACAAAATTAAGTTTAGATTTAAATTTCATAAGGTAAATATTATTTCCGGAAGGTATTAAAAAGAGAAAATTATCATTGTAACGATCTGACCTTATAGAAAACAGTGTCCTGCCCTGCGATTCTGTAACTCACTTTTCGAACTCACACAGCGGTTTTCGCATCGGCGGTCGCTCTCAAATCAGTCGTGAAGCAGTAATTTTATGATTTGGCATTCTGATAAACAATAAACTACAAGCTCCCACCTTTTCAGAATGCCAAATAATAAAATGACTGCTTCACGACTGATTTGAGAGCGACCGCCGATGCGAAAACCGCTGAGTGAGTTCGAAAAGTGAGTTACAGAATCGCAAGGCAGAGGCCTTTAATTAAACCCGTCCCCTGTTAAATATTAAGTAACAAATTACAAGGTGTCCCTTAAAATATTTAAATGAACGATTCAATTCCTCAACAAGCCATTATTGTGTTTATCCTTTTTAATTAAACCCCTTTTTCAGGGACTATTTTACTTTCTTTTAGCCGCCATCTGTGTTAAATACACTGGCTGAATGGTTTTAAATATATAAAAAAGTTTTTATATATTTTTTAGTCCGTCAAATAAATATGTTTTTTTCTTTAGTAAATGTACTCTAAACTTGTATAGCGGTTGTTGTAAATTTAGTTTTCCTATTCATTCCATTTGGGTTTAAATATTAATTTTATACTTGCGATGCATAGTTTTTTTTTATATTACAGTAGTAAAAAATATGTTTTTTTATATATTAAGTAGTTTTTTTGTAATTTGTGCAGGGCTTGCAAAAATTTTATTTACAATAACAGGAAAATTAACTATTTACTAAATATATATATTATAATTTACAAGTGTTTACCTAGGTACCTATGTTAAACTTGGGACATGTCCAGAAATGCAATAAATGTAATGAAAATTAGCCTATTTCCTAAGTTGAAATACACCTGATTTAAAGAAAAACAACCTTTTGATATGAATTTTAGTTTTCAAGAAATTCCACATTATTAGGCAAAATTCAACATTATCAAATATTTTCCGAATGCAATCATATCACATACAAACATCATAAACCGATGCCGGTTAGTAAATAAACTTAATACAATATTGGTCACAACAGATTTTTTCCTATTTTATTGTTTGTTAAGTCACGACAGTACTATTTAGAATTAAATATATTTGTGTTGTTTTAACACATTTTAAAGCTAGATTATTTACACTCTCACTATCATTATTACTCTTAGGGTCCTTCAAGAAAAGCGCGTACCAATTCTTAAAAGGCCGGCAACGCACTCGCAAGCCCTCTGGCATTGAGAGTGTCCATGGGCGGCGGCATCACTTAACACCAGGTGAGCCTCCTGCCCGTTTGCCCCCTGATCTATAAAAAAAAAACTCTTAGCCTATACAGTAATAATAATAATAATAATTGTAAGATAGATAGCCTACCTAGATTTAACATCTATTTGAGAAGAAGTACGTGAAACAACGGCGGTTGATATTTCATCACTGCCACGTAATTCGTGTATTTGAAGTAATTTATTTGATAAATGTTAAACCGTATATTATTTTGAATAATTTGCCTCTTTAAATGTTGAGCCATAGCCGTACATTACAATCCGGTTCATCTAAATTTGTACCAGCTTAGGAAACAGGGTAGCGTGGCGCAAATAATTCCAATGAATGGAAATTTATGGGACCCCATATTCAGAAGTGTTCAGCGGAAAATACGGCGAGACTTGGTGAGTAATTTGCGATACACTATATATGATAAGGAACTGTTTAAAATCAAGTAATACAATAAATTTTACCCTTTTTCCCGATACGGTCTCGACTATTCATATATATATATATAGTTTACGAGGATCGACAGACCCAATGCTGTGTCTATTTTATTGACATTTTTACGGGAACAAGGCGATTATTGTCCCCGATGATTGATTATTGGTAAACCACGATGGGAGTACACTTACCTTACTGAAACTTATGCTGTTTTTTCTGGTTTCTTTTTCTCATACAATTGACGGAAGGTTTATCTTTGATAAGTAGAGATGGAAGATTGACCAGTAAAACTTATTCAATTAAACCACATCATAAACTGAAAGAGGTTCTTAACACTGGAACCGGTCATCAAGGCACCACAGCTACAAAAGTTGTTTATTCCTTTTTATTTCAGCCACTTTTATATAAGAATAATCCATTGGTGCTATAACCCGTTATGGGTCTTGGCTTCAGTTTGCAACCGTTTCTTCGATAATTTTTATTTTATAGAAAAGTATGTGATCAGCCTTGTGTCTATCATCGGCTTTAGGGTTTGAGACAAGTTCTCACGAGGTTCACCTTCACTGTACGCACAAGTGTTAATTGCGCATATAGAAAGAAAATTCGAATTTGATTCGAAGGCACTACCTCATGTGATGGTGAGGACCTCACGCTTGAGCCACTAGGCCAACACTACTCTATTGTAATACTACTTTTGTTCCATACTATTTATAATAATATAATATTTTGAGTAAAGGCCTCCTCCAGAATATTAGTATCTTTTCTTTGTTTTGTATTTTTTCTTCCATCCAAAACCTACTAAAACTAAACGTATTTAATCCCAAAATAATTACATATACCAAGATTAATCTTCCCCTCTGTATTTAATTTGACTAAATTGAGTCCATACCATAATAGAATACAAATTCGTCAATTCACATTCAAAATCGCATTTCATTGTTGTTAAATTAAATACGGTTACACAACTAAACAGCGGAATAATTAATACAGAACAGTGACTATGTCATGTAACTCGATTTGCTATATGTGCTTAGGTATAGACCTTTTAATTTATCTCATTTAAATTATATTTTTAGTAGTGACCTAATTAATGTATTTCTTATAAAAACTAGTTTCTATGATCATTTTTCTTTATAGGCTTAGGCTCTCAGCACCTGACGCATGCGAGCACATACCCACATACCCAAATATAATTGCGCACATGTACAAATCCATTGGTGCATAGCTGGGGTAAAAACACACGGCCTCAGCGTGACTATGAAACATAGCTTAGAAATAAAATACTACATTACATTCATATAAAATTTTAGCTACTGGACTAATTTGTAAGAATTTTGACCGTTCAAAGTAGACAAGGCAAGGCGAAGCAAGGTGAGGCAAGGCGAGGCAAGGCGAGGCAGGGCGAGGCAAGGCGAGAAATCCACTCGTGTAGTCTTGGTTTCCGAGATCCCACAGGGGTCCATCTTATCTCTTTCAGGGTTTAACTTTTTCCGGTGATAAACACGATGGTGCCAATCACTCTCCTCTACTACACTGCGAATACTCAATACAGACAAATTCCAATCAAAAAATGAGGGAGTAAGTAAGTGGTAATGTATCTTTATATAATATATCGCTGAGTACTAGTGACTGACTAGTCACTATAGCCAGTATTATTTTGAAATTTGAAATCCGACTAACGTCGTACGCTCGATGTAAAAATATAAACAAAAACAACAACGACACCCCGAAAAATAATTACGAGTTATATTATTTTTATTATAGCTTTATTAATGAATCCAGACAAAAATTGGTTAGTTAACATTTCTTAATAAAAGTATTAGTTGTGTTACTATAAGTAGTAAAAAAAGGTTAAAACCTCTGTCTATATTTTCCATTTCTCTTTTTTTCTGAGATTTTTTCAATGCATTGTTCAGATATAATTGTCTGGATGATAGGGATCTTACGTTGAAAGTGCGTAATTTTAATTGTTGTAACGTGGAGCGCCTTTTTTATTTTTATTATTGTCCTGTTCTTCGCTTTTCATATGTAATGGAGGGTGGTGATCGCTCTCCACACGGGGACCGGCCCGATTGGATTGTTAACGTGGTAACTGGTATTGTTGTATTTTATTTTTTACCGGTATGCTGTGTTTTGTTTTATTTTTTAGTTGCTAGATTCTCCACGTTGGATTTGCTCTGGAGCGAAATATATAATAGGTTTTGTTTATTTTCTACGAATTCTATAACAAGACACAAATAAACTCTATAAGTACACAATTATGCCGCCAATTACAAGTTCTATCTCAAGTCTGTATCAAAAGCACTTGTGAGGGAAAAGAGTAAAATCTTAAAATTATGTCAGATAGGAACCGTTTCAAAGTTTAATTTCATCGGGAAAGTTGGAGGCGCGTTCCCGTCATAGAATGTTACTGTAATGAAACTAATTGGATCTTTGATATTTTACCTTATTTAATCTGTGGTGAACACGTGCCTTTTATATTCAAAAACGTGGATTGTGATTACGCAGATGACGAAGCTTTAAAAAGGAAAAAAATATATAATTTGTAGTTGAATTCTGACGCAAAAAGAGTGTCCTAATAATTTTGTGACGTACTAATTATATAAATGACTTGTGACTTATAATTTTGGACGTAAATGGATTTTTAAACTCAGTAAATTATTTACTGCTGTTCCCAGCGGTTTCAGACGCGGTTACAAAAACCTGGTCATAACAGCGGGCATGGTTCATAGCCTATTTTTTGTTGCGGATTTAGTTTTAATATTCGAAAGACATTTATTGTCACATGCCTTGGCGAACCCTGAGGACTTAAGGGCATATGGTAGGCTGAAGTGTTTTAGTGGGAATGCCCTCACTACCTCTGAATAGCAGAGGACTTTGAGGGTAGACCCAGCCCCACAGTGCCCCCGGCAAGTCCAACATCGGCGGCGTGGGCCTGAATAAGACCATTTTCAGCCTTAAACAAAGATTTCACTAAAATCCTTTTTTTTTGCTCGGTTTAAGAATTATGTATATTTCTTAATAAACAAGCAGCAGATTACTCGGTTTATATACTACCAACATAAACAAGTTTATAGAATATTTAATTTCTTTAAAATCATTATAAGATAATCGTAATATTTCTAAGAAAAGAAGAAAGATTCTTTTGTAGTTGTGTAGCATACTAAGACAATACATTCTTATCAAAATAGTGATTCTGCTAAAATGAATATAAGTAATATATATTTTTTATACACTGAGGTCGTAGGTTCGAACCCCGGCTTTTTGTGTATGTGCGCATTAAACACTTTCTCGTACGGTGAAGGAAAGCGACTTCTGCCTGCCTTCTGACTGCCTTACCCGAAAATCAACGCCGTGAGAAGAAGGCTGATCTCCTACTTACCTATTAAAAACAAACAAATGATCACGAAACAGATACAGAAATCTAAGGCCTAAAAGGATGTAGCGCCAACTATGCACATATAAATATCTAATATATCATTTATTAATATGCTTTTCACAATTGTGTTCTTTTTATATACTAAACATGTTACCTATACTTACAATAAAACAAGCAAAATTGCATATACGAACCGTACAAGAATCTGTGCCTTTAGTAAAGTTTTAATTTTATTGTCGGCTCCATCCACGAGATAACGTCTCGAATATGCCATTTGACTCCGGGCTTACTTTGTAATCGCGCGAGATTTACGACGCGAGAAATCGAAATTCCCCAATCATTTATCCGAGCTACAATTTTTTTCCTTTCCTCGTCAATTATTGAGAATATTGTCTTATTTTTAGAACCCAAGGCAGCGGAAAATGATCCATATTATTGTGTAATGCTTTTTTAGGTCAAAGGTATATATAATAAATATATATATATGGTGAGTAAAATTCGTAAAATAGACGGAATTTTTCATTTGATCAAGTAAATCTGTAGTACTACTAGAAACAAAAAGAAAGAAGATGTAACATAATTAAAGGTGTGTACGCTAAAGTTTAGCTGTCCCTTATAGAGGGAGATAGGGCCAGCTATTGCTCCATCATTTTTGCCGCGCACCACCACTATGTAGAACCACTAGACTAGACACAATGATAAATAATTAGTTAAATCCAAAAAAAAAACTTATTTACCAAGGTTAGCTACGGTCAAAATTCTTAAAGTTTAACTTATACATTATAATGATAATTAAATAACCGACAGACAAAAGCATAATGATACTAATTCTTAAGAACAAATAAGACTAAACTACTTAACTCGAGACTTCATGAATTGATTATGTTAGGCTGACAGGAAATTGAATCAATCATCATTATTTTAACATCTGTTTTGTTCTATAATAACATGCATTATCAAATAGGTTTTACTAACTATAATAAGTTAAAGGCACTGAAGTTAAAGGTACTACAAGGCAAGATATCATAAGCATAAAATTATTAAAGAAATAACTTCAATTCTGTGAAAAATGACGATCGGTCAAGTCGGATCAAGGGACAATGACAGCTAACCGTCAACTTCACGTCAGGGTAATACACAGATTCCGAACTTAGCGCGAACTATGTGTTAGTTTCAGAAATAAGACGAACGAACTATGGCTCTTGTATGTCAAAATACAAACGCGGTAAATGTGATGACAGATGGGTCATAAAGATTTTGGAATGTAGGAAGAAAAAAGGAGAGGACGCCCACCAGAAACCTGACAACATGAAATAAAAGAGATAACGGGGAAAGATTGGAATAGTAGCGAAGATGAGAGACAAATGGAAGACTTTAGAGGAGGCCGGAGGTCGTGTACTAATATTAAATATAATATATATAATATTAAATATAATATAATATTAAACAAAATCTTTATGTAATCCTTACAGTACTCGCAATTTTTTTTTTTTTTTTTATTTTTATGTATTCAGAATCGCAAATCAAACTTAATATACAGCAAGTGATGGAAATTGGCGACTTGAGCGAGACTAAGCTTCGAATACGTACGCCACAAAATGGACTTTTTTGTAGCAAAAATACAGATAATAATGGATGCATTGTTTAACGCATTACAAAAATAATAATTCAATGATTTCTACACTCTTCAATTGATGTTTCTTGCAGTTTCCGATGTCATTATATTAAACAACAAGACAATATGTTAAAATCTGTGTTTGCATTATTATATTTTTATATGGTGCCATAGATTACTAAAAAAGTTTTCTCTGTTATTATACCAAAAACTATAGAAACCAGACTTCATAAAATTTTCTGAACACGATTATATAAACTTCTATATTAGCTCAGTCGCGACTCCACAGACTTCGACAATCTTATCATATATCTCAGGCATGACAAGAAATACGTTTTTGATATTCTAGAATTAGTGCTGGTCTAGTTTCTGCATGAAAATTATATGTCTTTTAAATCTGCCTTTATATCAGTCTAAGCCAAATCTAAAACAAGCATAAAATGCTAAATTATTCAATAGGCGTAGGCAAATGGGTCAAATTAGATCAATTGTCTATCCGAGTCCATTTGCAAACAGTTTGAATATTTCCGTGCAGTGTGGATACCGTAGTTATACGTGTCACCTGCATGTTCTCACGGTAGTGTCATCAGAGCTACTGTGCCCATGATTATGGGTTTTATAGGATATCTTGAAACCATTCCACCCGTATCACATCGACGTCCGTCGTTCCACATTTGAGCGTCTTTTAAGGCAGCTTTTGCCGCGCACCACTACTATATAGAACCAGCTGTCCACTGATATATTTCCGAACCAATCCGACCTAGAACAGAGCGTACCAATTCCTAAAACGCTGGCAACGCACTTGCGAGCCCTCTGGCAATGTGAGTGTCTATGAACAGCGGTATCACATCATCACGTGAATCTCCTGTGTGTTTGCCTCCTGTTACATTAACAAAAAATTGTACTACGTGAAAGTGTGTGACATAGACCGTTTGCCTTTTTGATTATAAAATTCAAGGCAAAGACAATTGAAACGATATTTATAAAAATGTTTTATAACTCTTCTACTGTTAATTAGCACTTAGATGCTCTTCTATCAAAATCCTAGATATCATTGGATCACAAAACAGATGCAGAAATCTGAAGCCCAGACCTAAAAGAAAGGCTGTAGCGCAGATTTAGAACTGCATCTTGTAGCTCCAAGTTAGGAGTTCTAGTTATTGTATTGACTTTGTAAAAACAATTGCAAACCTTACAAAATGGTTATCCTACAACAGTCACGGTAAGCAACATTCCATGCGCATGAGCAATTATGTTCCCGACTGTACACAATTGCAGCTTCATAAACTCTTTGTGTTGACAAAGTTTCAGTGTTTAATGCAAAGCTCTTTAAACAGCTTTTCTTCAATATACATAAATACAATCTTGATATGTTTGTAAAACAAATATTAACCTATATTCATATTTATATAGTACATTTTTTATAAATAACCTTTTTTTAAATCCAATTGGTAAATGACCTGCTGACCTGAAGATTAAAGCAGCAACAGAACCAAATTACCGTTTATTCATGAAGGTAACTCAATGTACACTTATCGACGTCAGTTAATAATCCTTCTAAAATTACATTTACTGCCAGTTCTTAAATGAAGGGCGTAGAGTGGACGAGAACTGGCAATAACATTCGACATTTACATTTACAACATGTTTGTAAGCACCTGCAACCATCATGCTCCTCATTACATTAAAGCATTATTTAAAAATAAATAAGAAAACCTATCAGGTAGGCACGATGAAATAGGAGTATGTACAAGTAGTAGGCAGAAAACAATGAATAGTACAAGTAGCACCTGTTCAAGAGTGCGAACATATACAAACCAGTCAAATAATGTAGAGTTCATATGATTCATTGATCAACTCCTCAATACGCTGTATAGAATAATCTTATGCAGTCATATAAATGGGCAACCGTCTTAGACCAGCACAGCTACCAACCAGCTTCCCTCATAAAGGACCACATTACTTTTATAAAACTTTAGAACTTTTTCTATAGAACTGGGGGCAAACGGGCAGGAGGCTCACCTGAGGTTAAGTGATACCACGGTCTATGGACATTCTCAAAACTCGGCTCGCAAGTGCGTTGCCGGCTTTTTAGAAATTAGAATGTCGCTGCTTGCAGGACCCTAAGTCGTCAAAATAGCTCGCCCTTATTCTTGAACGCAGCTACTAAAACACAGGAGATAAATACTTTAAAAGTAATAAAAGTCAAAAGTCAAAATCATTTATTCATATAGGTAACACAATGTACACTTTTGAAAGTCCAAAGAGAAATATATATTAAAAGCTTCTAATTTTACATTTGCTGCCAGTTCTCAAATCAAGGGCGTAGAACGGAAGAGAAGAACTGGCAATAAACTCTCCGCTAATCTTTTATTGAAATAATGACAACAACATGAAAACCACAAAAGCGTTGGCAATATGCGTATTACATACTATATAGAAATTTGAGTCTTACTGAGGTATATCGACAAACTTACGTCTACAAAAGAACTTTATTTATACAGAAAATACTTAAACTAATATGTAGCCTCAATTAGAGGTGCGGCGTGCAAGAGCAACAGAGCATACTAGACTAAATTTAAATGTCTGTACTAGAAATAAATTGGTTCATGTATTTTGGTAGATTTGGTAAAACAAATACAACTCAACCACAATATGAACGTAGACATAAAAGCCCCATCCACATCATGTTAATAAGTGATTTGCATCTATCGGCTATTTTAAGGCTGGTTAACAACGTTTCAACTTTTGTATTTTTTTTTTTTTTTAAAGACAATTCACACCAATTGACCTAGTCCCATGCTAAGCTGGTGAAGCTTGTGTTATGGGTACTAGGCAACGGATATACATACATATTATAGATAGACATATAAATACATATTTAAACATCCAAGACCTAAGCACAACATCAAATGCTCATCGCATCGATGTTTATTGTTTATCTCAGCCGGGGAT